TGGGCACTCGGTAGTTGAGCTTAGGTCGAAACCAATCTTCTCCACAGTCGCGATGCCCCTGTGCCATAATGGTGGTACCCATAAGTGGAGGAGTCTGAAGTTCACTGAAGACATCAGCTATGAAAATGGCTCGGAAGAGATAGCGCAAACAAGCTGCTGTGCTCAGGCTCTGTTCCTCGCTGTCTGAGACCAGTTGGGACAAGTCGAGCTCACAGAACTCCTTGGGGTTCAGAGTGCTGCCCCCAAGGAGGATCAGCACTCGTGGTACCAGGGTCCGGGCAAAGAGGCTCTCCAGGTGGCTGAAGACGCTCTCCAGTTCTGCCAGGGTCTGCTGAGATTTCTTGTTGTTTGCCTCAGCGGCAGACCAAGGTTTCTTCCTCACCGCATCCTCTGCCTGAGGAGATTCTGGGTAGAAGTGTTTAAGTTGCTCATAGGGCAGAGGGAGTTGCTGGCGTTGGTACATGATATGCTTTAGAAGTTCACAAGTAAACCGGCAGCAGCCTTCCTGGCTCACAGGCCCGGAAAACACGACGGGCACAATGCAGTCTCGGGGGCAAAAGCTTTCCGATGGGTTGGGAGGTCCTTGGGCGAGTTCTAGCTCGGAAACTTGCGTCTGCTTGGCCTTGTCAAACCACTCCAAATCGGTGGGTACTGCGGCAGAGGACATCACTTCCGGCTCCGGCGCTGCCATCATTCTAGCATTTAGTAGTTGAAACATGTCAACCTGTATCCCATGAATTTCTGGGGATTTATTTTTCCCCAATGCCTTCACTACAGTTTGAACTTCTTCCTTCATTAGCATTGTCTCTTGATCATATAGTACTTTCAGAAATATTTCAGTGTTGGCCAATTCTTTTTGGTACAGTGATTTTGCAGATTCCCTCCATCTTCCTTTGATACCTCTTGGATTATTAAATATTTTGTTGGTAACACCTCTATAAAGATTTACAGTTGCCAAAGCCCTGTGGGGCACATGTACTCTGTCCTGCCAAGTCTCTGTGAGCCACAATCTACTTGACAATAGTCAAGTCTTTGAACAAACAGAAATAAGACTGGGGAAACACCATTTCTGTGCTTTTAAACATAATTTTCATTACTGCTCCAGTATCAAGAAATTCCTGGGTAGCTCAAGTGATTATGCTCTTGACCACTACTTATAATATTGGAAGTTTAAGTCCCACAGAGGTGCCTCAAACAACAGTCCTGGTGCTCTGTGTTGAGAAGTCACAGCCTTGAAGACACTGGAGCAGCCTCACTCTGACACACAGGGGTCTCCAAAGAGACCATAACTGACATCCAAGCAGATATCTGTACACCCATGTTTATCATGGCTTTATTCACAATAGCAAGGAGTTGGAAACAACCTAAGTGCCCATCAACAAATGAATGAATACAGAAGCTGTGATATATTCACACAATGGAATACTACATTGCATTGAAAAACAAGGAACTCATGAAATATTATTCAAAAT